CCCTCAGTCGAGGCAACTTCTTAGGCTTTTTCTTTTCTCAGAAACGTTTCAAGGTCAGTGCCCCGTTGTTTCTATAATTTCTCGCCAAGTCCCTCAGTCGAGGCGACTCCTTTTGGCTTTTTCACGGAAACGACTAAGGGTCTGGGCCCTTGTTCCCTATCTCTTCTCGTCGAGTCCCTCAGTCGAGGCGAATTCTTAGGTTTTTTCTTTTCTCAGAAACGTTTCAGGGTCAGTGACCCGTTGTTTCTATAATTTCTCACCGAGTCCCTTAGTCGAGGCGACTCCTTTTGGCTTTTTCACGGAAACGACAAAGGGTCTGGGCCCTTGTTCCCTATCTCATCTCGCCGAGTCCCTCAGTCGAGGAGACTTCTTAGGCTTTTTCTTTTCTCAGAAACGTTTCAGGGTCAGTGACCCGTTGTTTCTATAATTTCTCGCCGAGTCCCTCAGTCGAGGCGACTCCTTTTGGCTTTTTCATGGAAACGACTAAGGGTCTGGGCCCTTGTTCCCTATCTCTTCTCGCCGAATCCCTCACTCGATGCGACTTCTTAGGCTTTTTCTTTTCTCAGAAACGTTTCAGGGTCAGTGCCCCGTTGTTTCTATAATTTCTCGCTGAGTCCCTTAGTCGAGGCGACTCCTTTTGGCTTTTTCACGGAAACGACTAAGGGTCTGGGCCCTTGTTCCCTGTCTCCTCTCACCGAGTGGAGAGCAATGATTGAGGATAAATGGTGCTCTTTTATTAAGTTCGAAAACTTGAGTACACGTCTAACCTCTTTGTTGGTAAAATTTCTTCAAATGGATGACATTCCAGATTCGGTCCACGGGCTTTCCTTCCAGGGTCTCGAGCTTGTAGGTACCGGCCTGGACCACTGCTGTAATGCGATATGGTCCTTCCCACTTGATTACAAATTTGCCCCCTTCCGTAGGCTGGTTCGCCTGTCGGTCCCGTAACACGAGGTCGCCGACCTGGAAGGCTCGTGGGCGAATCCTCCGATCGCGATACCTCTTTACGGCTTGTTGGTATTCAACCATCCGGGCGCATGCGACCTCCCTTCTTTCTTCCAAGAAATTCTTCTCAATTCTAAGGCTTTCTTCATTCTCTTCGTCGGAATAGCTGTGGACTTAATGGGTGGGTTCCACGACCTCTATCGGAACCTTGGCCTCGAAGCCGTGTGCTAGGGAAAATGGGCTCTCTCCCGTCGCCCGCCTTTGCGTAGTTCGGTAAGCCCACAGGACCTCGTCGAGCTCATCAGCCCAATTTCCCCCGATGTCTTCCAACTTCTTCCGAATCCCATCTACTATGGTCCGGTTTACATTTTCAACTTGTTTGTTAGCCTGGGGTATGCCACGAATACCTTGGTGTGTCGTATGCTATGCCGGCGACAGAAGTCGGCGAAGGCTTGACAATCGAACTGTTGACCGTTATCGCTAACTACGTGCTCGGGTAGGCCAAAGCGGCAAATTACCTTTTTCCACAGGAAGCGTCGACACTGGTACTCGGTGATAGTGGCCAACGGCTCGGCCTCGACCCATTTGGTGAAGTAATCGATGGCCACGACGCAGAATTTCAAGCTTCCAGGGGCGACTGGTAACGGGCCCAACAAGTCGATTCCCCATTTAGCAAAAGGGATGGCCGTGGTGACCAGTGTGTAGAAGGTAGCCGGCCGAATATCCTTTCGAGCGAAGGCTTGGCAAAAGCCACACTTAGCTATCCACTCGATACAGTCCCGCATCATGGTTGGCCAGTAGTACCCTTGGACGACTAGTTTCCGAGCGAGAGTGTGGGCTCCCTGGTGGGCAGCGCAAATACCCCGGTGGGCTTTGTCCATTACTTTCTCGGCTTCGGGCCTGAGCAGGCACTTCAAGAGGGGTCCTCTGAATGATTGCTTGTACATCTGTCCGTCAATGATCCGGAATGAAGGGGCTTTTCGTCGAACCCTTGCTGCGACTCCGGGGTCATTTGGTAACTCGCCCGTTTCCTTAAATCGCCGGATGTCTTCTATCCAGAACATCTCGGGGTTTTTCTCTCGATCCCACTCCTCAATGATTACCTGTTGGACCTCCAACGACGTCTCCTCTATACTAGGCCGACTTAATTCTTCCTTTTGGCAAATCTTGATGAGGTGATCTGGCACTCCTTCAAAGGCAATTTTTGATAGTATGTCGGCCTCGACGTTGTCCGCCCGAGAGATGTGCTCTATCTCATAGGGTCCGAATTCTGCCAGCATTTCTATTGCTTTCCCCTTATACTGGGCCATCCGAACGTTCTTAGCTTCGCAGGTGCCGGAGATTTGTCCGACCACTAACCGGGAGTCGGTCTTGATTCGCAATTGTTCCACTCCGCAGTGTTGTCGACCGCCCAACACAGCCTCATACTCGGCTTCGTTATTGGATTGGAAACAAGTAGCTAAGGGCGTAGTAAAGCCGGAAGCCCTCTGGGGTAATTAGCATAACTCCCCCTCCGCAGTGTTGTCGACTTGCCGCCCCATCCGCGTGTAGTTCCCACCATGCGCCTGAGCTATCCTCCGTGATGCCCTTTTTCTCGCCTTCCCCTACTGTGCACTCGGCCAAGAAGTCGGCCAAGGCTTGCCCTTTTATGGACGGTCGTGGTTGATACTCGATCCCGTACTGTGTTAATTCCATGGCCCACTTTACCAGTCGACCGGACGATGTGGGGTTTCGCAACATGCTTCCTAGAGGCTGATCAATCAGGACTCGGACGGTATGAGCTTGGAAATAGGGCGCCAGCTTGCGCACGGTGATCACCAGCGCGTAAACGATTTTTTCCAAGGTCGTGTACCACGTCTCGGTGTCCTTTAAGGAGCGGCTTACATAATACACCGGGTGCTGGGTATGCTCCTCTTGTCGAACCAGTACTGAGCTTACCGCCTTGGGGGAGGCAGCTAGGTATAAGAACAAAGGTTCACCCTCCTGAGGGGTGGACAACACCGGAGGTGTAGAAAGATATTGCTTCAGCTCTTCGAACGAGTGCTGGCACTCGGTTGTCCATGCAAAGCCTTCCTTCCTCTTCATGGCCTTGAAGAAGGGTATAGTTTTGTCTGCCGCCTTGCTAAAGAAGCGACTGAGGGCAGCCAGTCGACCAGTTAGCCGTTGCAAATCTTTGACGGTACTGGGAGGCTGCATGTCAATGATGGCCTGAACCTTCTCAGGATTGGGCTCGATGCCTCGTTTCGTCACCATGTATCCCAAGAACTTTCCGCCTTGCACCGCGAAGGCACATTTTTTCAGGTTTAGTCGGAGATTATACCTTGTCATCACCCGAAAGCAGTCGGCCAAATCTTTCGCGTGTTTGATCTCTTCTCAGCTCTTGACTAGCATGTCGTCTACATAGGCTACCATGGACTTCCCTAGTAGGTCTTGGAATAGCCGGGCTACCATCCGAGTGTAAGTGGCCCCAGCATTCTTGAGTCCGAAGGGCATAACCCGGTAACAATATACCCCGTCCGGTGTTAGGAACGCGGTTTTTTCTTCGTCGGCCGGGTGCATGAAGATCTGATGATATCCTTTGAAGGCGTCCATGAAGCTTAGCTGAGCCGACCCTGCAGTCTCATCGACCAGCTGATCAATTCGTGGCAAAGGGAATGGATCCTTTGGACAGGCCTTGTTAAGATTAGTATAATCCATGCACATTCGCCAAGCTAGGGGCTTTGGCATGAGGACTACATTTGCCAGCCACTCCGGGTATTTGACCTCCCGGATGTGACCCGCGGCCAGCAGCGTCGACACTTCTTTCTTTACGAATTCCCTCCTGTCGTTAGCGAGATACCGCTTTTTCTGTACGACTGGCCGATGGTCTGGATCCACGGCGAGTCAGTGGGCGATGATGGACCGATCAACACCTGGCATATCCTCCGGATCCCAGGCGAAGACTAGTCGGTGCTCTCGGAGAACTCTGATAACTTCACTTCGTATTTCCTCAGGGAGACCGACCCCGATTCTGACCCGCCTGTCGGGTTGTTCCGGGTCGATCTCCACCTCTTCCAATTCCACGGCCGGCTCCGGGCGGGGTATTACTGCTTTCTTTGGGATTTTTTCCGAGATCTCGTGGACTTGCATTTCGCGCTTGCCCATTCCCCTACAGGCCTATAGATAGCAGTCGCGGGCGACTCTTCTATCGCAGCGTACCGTTCCTATCCCGTTCGATGTGCGGAATTTCAGCCAGAGGTGCTCAATGGAGATCAGCGCTCCCAGATCCTCCAGGCCTGGTCGGCTGAGTATAGCATTATGCGAGCAGGCTAGGTCCACCACGATGAACTTCATGTTAAGCTTATGTACGTCGAGTTAGCTACCGACTTCCACCGGCAAGGTGATAGACCCCTCTGCCTCCACCGAGTCTCCCGTGAAACCGGCGAGTGGTGTCTCGACTAGATTCAACTGTTCTCGGGTTAGTCCCATCTTTGTGAAAGTCTCGAGGTATAGCACGTTGACACTGCTCCCGGTGTCGACCAGGATTTGTCGAACGACCACCCCATTTACGTCCATCGCTATGACCAGTGCATCTCGATGCGGTGTCTCCCCCGTGGGCAAATCTTTGTCGGTGAACGTGATGGGCTCCCGGCACACTTTCTTCGAGCTTTCTTCGCGCCCGTACACCGTCCCGACGTACAGCTGTCGAGCCTAGGCCTTTCTGGTATTCGCTGAATCGCCGCCTTCCGGTCCGCCGACTATCATGTTGATAACCGGCTTCTGACGCCACTGGGCCTCGTTTTCCTCAGTTGCCGGCCGCTTGCCGCGACTACTCTCGGCGGCGACTGCGGGACCATTGTCCTCCTATGTCACTGACCTTCGCCTCCACTGATTAGGAGGTGGGGTCCCTTGTTGGATGATTCCTTCCATGAACTTTTTCAAGTAAAAGCACTCTTCCGTGCTATGAGTGTAAGATTTATGATAACGGCAGTACTTAGAGTTCTTACCTGTCTCTTCACTCGCCACACGATCGTCAGGCGGCGGGGGCGGGGGCCGAGCGACCGCTTGTACCTCGTCTACCGGGTGCTGAGGAATCGTCCTATAGGGATGAACAATAGGATTGTCATAGGGACGCCTAGCCTCGGGTCACCGAGCCCCTTCCGGACGCCTTTCCTTGATTTCCGCATAGGTCCTTTTTCCTTCATGGCCTTCTTCGTGTTAGCCCTTTTATTAGCCATGTGTATAGCTTCCTCGTAGGTTGCCGGGCGGTTATCCCGCAGATCCCGGTATAATTGCCCGGATCGCAAGGACTCGATGATGAAAGTGAGTGCGGTCTGGTCTTCAACCTCTTCGATAGACTGGATTTCTTTTTGCCATCGAACCAAGTAGGTTTTCAGAGACTCACCTTCCTCTTGGTGGACGTCTCCCAGGTGAGTCAAATCCTTCTGTGGTTTGATATTGGCCGCACAATGGCTCATGAAGCGATTAGCCAGCTCCTCAAAATTGTGAATCGACTTCGGAGGCAGCGCCACTAACCACCTTTGTGCCGAGCCTTTCAGCGTGGGCAAGAAGGCGCGACACATCACCAGGTCTCGGACTCCCAGGACTTGCATCTTGGCCTGATAACTGAGCAGATGCTCGCGTGGGTCTCCGGACCCGTCAAAGGTGGTTTGTTCCGGGAATTTGAAGTCGTCGGGCACTTTATAAGACATGATCTCGGAAGAGAACGGCAAAGCGGTAAGCAACGTCTGCTCGGGGGATTTAGTCTTTCCCCCCATTTGTTCCTTCAGATCTCGTACCTCTCGGGCCAATTGGGCCATATCGCTCTCATTGCGAGTATGGTTTCCTGTGGATTCCGTGCTTTCGCCGACTTCTGATTCAGCCGGTCGGTCATCATTGCGCGTTAGGTGTAACACCCCGTGTTACGACCCCTAAAATCAATTAAATCATTTAATCAATTACCCAAAAGAAAGAATTAAATCACAATAATTAATTAGGAAGGCCCACCATAGTCCACGGACCCTTATCCCTAAACCCAATCCTTAGTCCCAAAAGAAATAGAACTAGCAAGCCCATAATATTAGTTCCTAACTAGGACTCCTAAATATATAAATAGGGGACTTAAGAGGCACCTAGAAACCCCCCCACAAGAATAACGCCCCACCTCCCCAAAGAGCTCCAAGAATCCCCCTAGAAGAAATCAAGAAAGCAAGAAAGCTTAAAGAAAGACCCTTCATAGCCAAGGAATTAATTGAGGCTAAGAGGTAACCCATGTCTCAACAAAACCTATTTTCATAGTTATGATTCCCCCTTAGGGTTTCCCCATATTATTGTATGTTTATGATTTGTGATGATTATTATTGATGTTTGATGTGATGATCCCATGGGGGATCTTGATAACCTTGTTATTGGGAGATTCTTGATAATTATGGTGTTTTTAACGATTACGTGGAGTTCTTGATAATTATATGTTGTTCTTGATAATTATATGGCGTTCCTAATACTTATATGTTATTTGTACCGAATCTTGTAATTAGAAGACGAATCGTATTCTTGTTGGCATAAAAGTGATTAGAGCTCTAGGTTGTAACGTATGGAATTATTCTTGGTATATTGGGTGGGAATTCGCATGATTGGGTGTTTATTATGTTTAGAAAAGCATGATAGGTTATGTGCCGATCGTTTCCTGATTCTGATCCGTTAATTGTCTACGTGTGTTATCAATTGCGTTTGAAAGTGTCCAAGCATGGTTTCGGGTTCCACAAAGGTTCCCGAGGCGTTTCTGGATGAAAAGAGTCAGTGGGGGGTAGGAGACCCGCCACCTACCCGCGGCCTCCTTGGGCAACGCCGGCAGCGGGCAGCCGGCGGGCGGGCAGCTGCCCGCCGGGCACCCGCTGCCCGGTCTTGTTACCGCCGGCGGGCAGCCGGCGGGTGATCCCTCACCCACCGGCTACCCGCTGGTTTGCACCCCAATTGGGGATTTTGGCTCCCCCGTTTGATGTTTCCCCGACCCCCGAGGTGTCCCAACGGACTCCGTTTATCGTGCCTGTGTCTAGTTTGATATTTCGGGTACCGTTCGTAGGTTTATGAGTCTACTGTATTGCATGCTAGTTGAATTGGTATCCCGTTGACCTAGGTGGAAGAAGTATGAACCCCTTAGGACCATTCTTAGTATGTGATGGATCACGCATAGGTTTTGTTATACGTTTTCTCCCCCTTCCCAATGTGTCAATGTGGGCTGCATGTACTTGCTATGTGTTATGTGTGCATGTAACCCCGAGTTGGTTAAGATCAATCGGGATATACGGGCAGTCGGGTGGGCTGAGAACCATACCGGCTGTTAACCAGGCTGGTAGAGACCGGTCAGATATATAAATATTATATAGGACTAAGTTCCACTATACGGGCAGTCGGATGGGCTGAGAACCATACCGGCTGTTAACCAGGCTGGTAGAGACCGGTCAGGTATATAAATATTATTTAGGACAAAGGTCCACTATACGGGCAGTTCAATGGGCTGAGAACCATCTCAACTGTTAACCAGGCTGGTAAAAACCGGTCAGGTATATAAATATTATGTAGGACAAAGGTCCATCAGCCGGTTGCGATCGGCTCCTCCGTAATGTGAGACGGGGCAGGGTGCTGCGGGGCCATGTCAGAGCTATATGCGCTGACCCTCATGTATGGGCATGCGATTGGTCCTGTGGCGCCAACAAAGTGTGCTATTTGATGAGATATGGATGAGTTGTGTTTATGAGTATACTGGGGGATTTGACTATGGGATTTATGCTAGGGATTGTGTATGATGGGTTATGATTATTATTCGTGATCAGCTTTATCTGTCTTGCCTGTTGTGGATTGTATACGCTTGATTATAACTGTTGCTTGTGTCTAGCCTTATCTGTCGAAGTCATTCCCGGTTTTAAAAGCTAGAGTCTCGTAGGATATATCTTCATGCTTCAAAATGGTTTTCGTATATCTATATATATCTCTATATGTATTGTATTTCAACGCGTTGGAGTGGGTTACCAGCATCTCTCGCTGAACAGATATATTTGGCTTTCAGGCACAGAAGCATAAGTCACTGGAGCGCGCTAGAACTTGGAGCGTAGAAGTAGATAGTGTCCCTTCCGGCCTGTGTGCCATGTTTATGCATTTACATTGCTAAGGATATTAGATAGTTAGCCTGTGCACCTGAGTTCTCTAGCTCAGGTGTGGCATAGCACCCCGCACTCTTGTATTATGTTTTGGGATTTAATGAGATTTCACCTTTATTTTATAAGTTTTAAATATCTTGAAAATCTGGGGTGTTACATTAGGCGCTCGGTCCGTCGTGTCCAAGTCCTAGTTCTCCTGGTACGAGTTCTTTCGCGACCGGCTTCCCGATCTCGGCTGGGCTCCCTTTCCCCTAGTCGTTCTCGTGCAGGTTGCCGCTCGGCATTCGGACCCAGCCTTGAATGAACTGATTGTGCTGGCTGATTCTTCGCCCGTCGATTTTCTTGTTTGTCTTCCGGCCTCTGGGAAGGTTGTTGATGGCGAGGCATCGGTCGAGAAACTGACTGCTCCCTCACTCCTCGACTTGCGTCGGCGAAGGCTCGCCCAATCGCGTGGAGTTGTTCCTGGGTGAGGGGTATCATGGGTGGCTGCCAGTTCACCGGCGCCGTTTCGTTTTCCTGACTCTGGGCGTTTTGTTGGTTTAACTGATCCCTCATATCTGCTTCCACACCATTATTGTGGTTGTTCGCTTGGTCTTGTCCTTCTGACATGTTTGTGACGCTTTTTTGGTCGACCTTGGGACTCGCCCTGCTCAGAGAGTCACGTAGCTCTTTGTATCGATCCCCACAGACGGCGCCAGTGTTGGTTTTTGGGTTTTCGGGCCCAAGGAGGTCCAACACAACCTTTGGTTGGTGGATTCACCTTTCGCAAAGTGATAGCAAAAGAAGAGTAGTCGAGTAATTAGAAAGTGTGTGTCTCTTATTCCCTGGGCATGGACTCGCCTCGATTACAAGGATGGGGGGTCTTTATATAGGAGGCTCCTCTCCTACCGACTTGAAGGACATTAGTTGTTGACTTCAAGGCTAATTACAATTACTAAGCCGTTGGGTGCCGTTACCGGACCGGCCAACGGCTCTTATGGATTCATAACATTCTGACCGAGTCCTGCCTTGAATGCCTATAACGGCTCCTGGACCGATTTAAAGACCGGAACGCCCTCCCACGACTCCCTGGACCGAGCCTTCTTAAACGAGGCTCTTCAATGCTCTTTAGCAACTCTGGACCTTGTTTCTTCCTACGCTTGGGCCTGGGCCGACTCCTGGACTCGGCCCAAGCCTTTACTGGGCTTCTCTCGCTGCTGGCCCACGTCTCCTGCCTAGGACTCCTCTCTTGGCCCATCTTCTTGGGCCAGGGTCCTTACCCCATCATATATATATATATATATATATATATATATATATATATATATATATATATATATATATATATATTGATACTGCTAATTCTACGTAAGCAATATAAATAACACAAGATCAAGTAAAGCAAGTAAATCTTTATTGATCAAGGTAGAGTTCCTAAGTACAATCTACTTGGTTGCTCTGAGTACCGACTGACTGCGGTCGGGAGTCTCTTATAACAACCTATCGATCGTCCAAAAGTCCCCTACCCTGTAGCTACTGTGGGTACTTATAGCCGCTGTGCCGGAGACAAGATCCCAGCCGCTCGGCATGTCTTCCACGTAGCCACCACGTGCCATCCTCCTGGGTGCCCTGCCTGTCGATGTAAAGAGCCGCCACGTGTCTCTAGTCAGCTCTCTCGCCGAAGGACTACCGCTCGGGGTTGACACCATCGCTCGGGCAACTCCCGGTCGGTTCCCGACCGGGTTCTTCTCAAGGAGCCCGACCTGTTACCTGCAAGGATAAGGAGAAAGAGACAAAGACTCCTCGGTCGTGGTGGAACTATGTCGGTCGGGATATTCCCTACCAAGAGCCCCCCAGCCCGGGCCTTTTTGATCAGTCGGGAAAAAACGGGACGGGATGAAGAAGCCCAACCGTCAGCCACCAGGCCGACCTGCCAGCCGTCATTCCCTCCTACGCCACGTGTCGGCCTCTGCCGGCCTCGGCGATCCCATCCGTCGCCTCGGATTCAGCGCGGGTCGTGTCAGGCAAGTTGGCCCTTTTCCCGCCTAAATGTCCTCCTATAAATAGGCCTTTGAGGCCCTCATTTGAACTTTCCTCACTCTTTCGCATCAGTCGGTACCTTCAGAGAGTCCCGAGCAGAGCGGCTTAGCAAAGCAGTCGAGCAAGCAGACTTCCACTTTCAAGCTTCAAACTTCAATCTTCCCTCAATCGGTAAGCTCTCAACCCTCCTCTTTACTTTAGGCTCTCGCTTATAGGTAGAACTGCTAGGTCAACTAACTGTCCCGGACGTCTCAAGTCCTTACTAACTCCGACCGACCTTTAGGTAGATCGACATGACGGACTCGGACAGTCAAAACGCCTCGATTGCTGATTACGACGAGGAGGTCGAGCACCTCAGCGACGAGGAAGTGGACATTATGTCCTACACCCCGGACGCTAGTCCCCGAGCGACGCCAGCCCCCGAGCAAGCCGCCGAGCGAGACAACGTATCAAGCTCCTCCGGATCGTCAAGCTCAAGCTCGAGCGGATCGGGGAGTACCAGCGAGGAAGAAGAAGAGAGAGCCACGTCAAGCGGGCGGGGTTCTCCAACCGAGGGCGTTAGGGAAACGCCTACCCGGGTGGTTGGGGACCACCCGGAAGCTGCTCCTCGAGGGGGTGATCGAGAAAATACCCCCGAGCAGACC